CGCTGCCCGGAACAAAAACCTCCACTTTCACGACTGGAATCACGAAGACCTTCTTGCCCCCAGCCCAGCCTGGCTTCACCTCCTGCCGTGTCATGCCAGTGCCATAGCCCTCCTTGCCCATGAGAGGCAAAGCCACTGGGCTAGGTGCCAATCCGTGTCGTTGAACAAAAGGGCGAGGGTCCGGGAACTTGATGGTGAAGTCGAAGTGCTCTGCCAGGCGAAGCTTAAGACAATCCCCATGGTTCATGGGCGCCGCTTTGGGCATGGTTGCTAAAGCCTCGACGACCTCCTCTGTGTTGATAATGAAGGCAGACACCGGCGGGCCACAAGAGACGGGGAAATCGTGCCAAGTACCCTTCCTCAAGATCAAGCCCATGCCTGCTGGGATGATGTAAGCTCTGACTCGCTCCGGGTCAGGCTTGGCCCGAGCCTTCTCATCCAAGTCATCGCGATCATGCGTGGGCTCCCCAAGCACGAATAAGCCCGGATTCTTCCCTATCACTATAAAGCCTTGGGTCATTTCCATGTGGCGCTCAAGCCACGAAACACTATGATCTTCCCTCCAGTGGATCTGTGAGGTGCGCACGCATGCCTGGTCCTTCCAGTCAGCGTGCTCGTAGTTCGCACCCTCCAAGACGGTCTTGTAGAATGGGATGCCCAAACCAGGGTTCACGACGGTGTCGTCGACGAAATAGCCCAAGTTCTGGGTGTTCTCGCGCGTTGCGATGACAAGGTCCAAGGTCAGGACATCCTGGTGCTTGCGCTTCTCCGGCATGGTGGGCATCGCGCAGGGAAGGACAAATGTTCGGGCAAATGATGAGAAGCCAAAAGGGCTAGCAGAATCCAACAGTCTCGCGCTGCAATGCCGATGAGTGACTGAGGATACAAACAACAGCAACGAGAGAGCTCGTGTTGGCTTATCTGGACTGGAAAACTGAGTCTGCCTCTGTCGCATATGGCCCCCTGCTAGCAGTGCAGGCTGCTGGGCCTGCCTTGCAGGTGCTGCGATCAGATGCTTTTCGAAACCATGGGCGCAGGGCACCCACAGAGTCCTATCCACAACCACATGACCTGCGCTAACAAGTTCAGCAAAGTCATGCAGGAACAAACTGCAGAGTAGCTGCGGCACAGGCTCACAGACGGCAACTTCACACCATGATTGCTACGTTGCTATTGCAGGGCCATCTGCCAGCTGTGAAAGCGCTACTCTGCAATGTTAGGATGCGCTTCTGCTGCGTGCTGCTCGCTGACAGGCAGAGGCCCCTCGCAGACACCGCAGCAAAAGGCAACCAAGGATTGTCTAGCAGTCTAGCCGCCGATTCCTCTTCTGTGAAGTTGCTTGTCTGCCCCAACTCTCACGGATTCTTTTGGACGGCCGCGCAGACCTGGGCCGCGGTGGCGAAGCAGACGCCAGGCA